CCGTCAGTAAGAACGAAACGATACTGGTATCCGGCGCGATATCGAATAGTTTAGAAAAATACCAACCCAAGAAATTGGAGGGGAGTCCTCTTATACTTACAAAGGATGATAAGTTAAGAAGATTCCGCCGATGCGACCTAAAGAAAACAGTGCAGAATATCAAACGAGTATTCCGAGGGAAAAAGGCAAGAGTGATTGAACCATTGCTGGAACAGTTATACATTAGTGTAAGTCGGCAGGGGGAATCAACCTTGTCTACGGTATACTTGCAAAGATATTTGAACATAAATGATAGGGAGCCACTAATAGTATTTTGGAACGGAACGTCAGATATCACGATAATTAAGCGTTTAAGATTAACAGGAATTTTAGCATATTTAAATATATCGGCAATTAGCGTTAGGAATAATGACGAATTTGTATTAGAATTATCAAACCTAGAGACTAAGGAAGTTTTATATTCAGGTTATTTAGGTAAATTAAATAAAAATGGTAGAATGTTAGGACTATCAGAAGCACATGAACTAGCATGCGATATTAATCATAATATTACACATTGTCACGATCCAGTTGCAGACGTAATTTTAACGAAATGCCTATTCAATTACATAGTAACAAAGATAAAGCCCATTAAATTATATAAATTAGCAAAAAAATATAAAAGGAATTTTAAGGCAAAATAAATAATAATTATTAGTCAATAAATAAATATAACACAAAATAAATTAAATAATGAAAACAAATACATAAATTAACATTTATTATATATTTTAGATTCATTGAGGAGCTAAAAACAATTTTAAAAACAGAAGTACATATTTATAACGTTAAAGAAAATAAGTTACAATCCATATGCTTTAATTGGCATATATTAAAGGCAAACAAGAAAATAAATAATCACTACGATCATAAAACTTTAAATAAAATAACTAGAAGCCTTGAACTTTTCATAGACGATCATTGTAATGGAGAATGCAAACAATTAGTAAAAATAATAGAAAACACTAGAGATCCAACTTACATGATGAATTACCTTGAATAAAACCATAGTTGCATATGTCTGTGACAAATTTAACAATTATTCACATAAATTAGTATATAGGTGGAAGGTAAATATTATTATTATATAAAAAGGGGAAATACTTAAATTATATACTTACGTAACGCTTATAATGTTATAATTTCAGGTACCTATATTATTTTATTATTAATCATTTTTATTAACACTATTTGTTTAATTAAATCATGTATTAATTTATTTTACTAACCACAATTAAAATTGTAATATGAATAAAGAAAAAAAAAACAATAATAATAATAATGATGACATTAAAATTGTAAAATGCTCACATTATTGTAATCAAATGTAATACTATAATCAAATTGTTAACTGTATACAAAATTTAAATGTCAATGTAAACAATGTAATTCAGCCATTGTAAACTATTAATTAACGATGTTAAAGATTCTTAACCCTTAAAGGTTAACAATCTTTTTTTTGGTAGGGAGGTGTAATGGGATTACACAATATCATATATTTGCTCATAATAACAACCAGGAATGCGACCACACCCAAAAGTGTTTTCGACTACGAATACCACTTTCATAGTCATGAGGTCCATATCAAGGACGACTGTACACGCGCCGCTCACTTTCAAAGGACGCCGCCACCATATATATAGGGGACAGCGAGACAGCCTGAGTTAGATGTATCCAGAGACGAGAACACCACACGACTCGTTTAGCCGCCCAGCCATCACACACGACTTACACGGAGATTATCAACTTCGGAACGAGCCACAAATTCACTACAATCAACACTATTATTCTGCTTGTTTTGTCTGGTTTAATATAATACATTTGATTACCATTCTAATTGACTATTATTATTTATCAAGTACACCAGCTTTTGGATCCCTGAAGGGCCGCATGTAACACTATATACATATTATTATGAATAAATTAATAATTGTCCGACTTGAAATTTGTCTCTTAAACATAAGGTGAGTGTTTGGTGAAGATAGATGATTAATTTGATTTCGTTGATATATTTGTAGAATCCGTTAAGATTCTATTGTATCATATTGTTGTGCTGTAGTTTAATACTTCTTTTTAAAAATACATATGATAGGAATGTGATTTAGTGTATTTTGTTCATGGTTGAGTTAGGGATTATGGAATAAGAGGTTGGATAATTTGGTGAGTTCAGATTTAGTTACACTAGGTATGACTTTTTTAAATATTATAAAATACTCTTATAAACCTAAAAAGTCAGATTTATAGTTTAATATTATTTTTCATTACATTATATACTATCATTACATTTTAGATTCTGAGTAGAAAGATGAATGTATTGATTTTACAATGATGTGTGTTTTTTTTTTAATTTTTAATTTTTTAATTAATTAATTTTTTTTTGTGTCTGTCATCACGTTTTAGGACAGTAAAAATGCTTGGATTTTCTTCAACAGTATCTTTTCTGATAGGAAAGTGAATCTAGTTGGTACTTTGGGGGGGGTCAAAAGTAAAAATTTCCCAGTAGTTTTCACAAGCGCCGGGAAAAACAACATAAAAATTAAGGAAAAACGTAAATTTTTACGCAAAATCTGTTTTCTACAAAATAGATTTTGGTTTTTGGTGTAACTCTAAAACAAATGAACGTATATACATGAAATGTTCACTAGTTGTTTATATTTGCATTTTCTATACACGATAACATTTTCAAAATGTTTTGATTTATTTTGAACTGTTTAGGCACATTAAATAATTTTACAATGAAGTGTGTTTTTTATTTTTTATTTTTTTTTTGTGCTGTGTAGTCGAAATAATGCTTCGATTTTCAACTTCAGTATCTTGTTCGATTGGAAAGGGAATATTGTTGGTGCATTGGGGAGGTAAAAATTTAAAATACACAGTAATTTTCAAAAGCGCCAAGAAAAACAAAAGAAAAATTAAGGAAAAACGGAAATTTTTACTCAAAATCGATTTTGGTTTTTGGTGTAAGTTCAAACCGTAGATACATGAAATTCTTACTGGTTATTTATGTTTGCATTTTCTATACACGTTAAAATTTTCAAAATATTTTGATTTATTTTGAACTGTTTAGGGACATTTTCAGTTTCCAATTGTATTAGTTTTTTTCTATAAATGTCAATAAAACTTTATTTGTTGAGTAAAACTACTTCAAAATGTAATACAAGGCTCCTAATATATTGTTACAATTACATTTTAAAAACCTTAAAAATCCTTATTCACAGTTTTTTTGTAATAGTTTAAAGTTCAAAAATTGACAAAATATGGAAAATCACGAAAATTAGCAAATTACATTGAGTTAAGAGTTCATAAAAGTTTTTCTTTTTAAATCTAAGATATGAAAATGTAATATAAGATTCCTCATAAGTTTGTCCATCTTTATCAAAAACAAAAAAATGTCTACAAAAACTCAAATTAAATTTTTATGAGCGTTTGAAATTCATATTTTTACATTTGATATTCACTCGATTTCTCATGTAACGATTTTCTTAGTTTGTTGTAATTAAAAAACAATGTAGATACTAGAACATTTAACTGAATGTTTATATTAGCATTTCCTATACACGATACCCCATTTTGAAAATCTTTTGACTCTTTTTGAGCTGTTTACGGATATTTTCAGTTTTCAATTTTATTAGTTTTTTTTTCTATAAATATCAATAAAATTGTATTTGTATTGTAAAAAAGCAAGAAAATTTAATGCGGAGAGCACCTGATATATTGTTACAATAGCAGTTGAAAAATATTAAAAATACATTGTCACAATTTTTTTTATAATCATTTAATGTTCAAATTTTGAAATTTAACAAATTTAAAATTTAATAATACTTTTTTAGTTAAAATTTATAAAATGTTCAACTTTTATAGTTAAGGATTGAAAATTTAAAGCAAGATTCCACTTAAATAGGTTAAAAATAAATTACTTTATTCACCTTAGTATCATCAAATATATTTCGTAATATCATGAGCTGACTAACCGTTTTCGCTCAGAATAATTTTTCTTATACAATGATATTATATCATTGAATTCAAATTTAATAACATCCATTATACAATAACCCACTTTTTAAATTATTAATGTAGCATAGAAATTATAAATGTATTAATAAGTAAATAGTTTGACGTCACTACCGATAAATTATAAATAATACTCAAGTTATCTTTATTTAGGTACAACCTACAATAAATATAATCGAATATCAGTACTATAGAATACAAATTGCTTTGAATAATAATATATAAATTGAGTATAAAGCATAGGTACATTTAACTGAATTATATTTGTTTTCAACTTCAACCATTTTTCGTAGTAATCATTTTCAATTCATTGTACACAAATGTGAATGCATTAGTGATTACATTAAAACAACCACTATAATTCAGTTAACATCAGTCAAGGCACACTCCATAAATCCTAAGAAACTAACTAAATTACCTTTTTTCTTTTTTTTTTTTTACTAAATTTGTTAATAAATATAATTATGAGTGTAAGATCAGTATTAAATAAATTTAACAATGTTTTTTTAATTTGTGGTATCGGTAGTATAAAATTCAACCAGGGAAATTTTATGACTTCAGTGTTGTTTTATGTTTGGCGATGTATATTAATTTATGCTGGTTTATATAACTTATACAAGGCCAACCTATGGGTAGGTAATAATTTTTTTAGAATTTCTTTTTTGATAGTTTCATTTGATACAACATGAAATAAATAAATTGAAAATTCATGAAGCTGATAACTATACTATCACTTTAATGTTACGATAATATTATTAATATAATTTATTTATTAAGTAGACAAGTTCTTAAATTGTTAGAACTGACTTCTAATGAACAAGTTAATTTTACCCATTTTTTTTTATCGAAGAAGAAATATAAATAATAAATCTATATATATATATAATAATATGATTTAATAATTGTAAAAATTATATTTTTTTTTATAGAACAAAAAAACTAATCCAGAAATGTTTGAACTAACGTCTATAATAATGATCAGTTGTTTTGAATTAATTTTCATTGGAAAATTTTTACCTTATATCTGGCGTATATTTTTTGATAATCAACTATCAATTGTATTGACAAAACTTGAAACAATTCACGAAAAATTGTTACGCCTGAATGTGGTCGGCCCGATTACAATAAAAATGAATTGGATTTACATTATTGGAATTATTTTAAATGCCATGGAAGTTATACTGCAACCCGTTAGGGTGATGAATATGAAACAAAATATTATAATACATGAAATGGTAACATTATTATCTATAAATATTTTATAAGTTAACATGACATAGTATAACAATAACATAAAATACTTTAATGTTGGTTATTGGATTAATATGAATATAATTTCAAAGAAATTTTTTAATATTAAATACATTTATTAATAAATCGTCGTCTCAGAATGAAAAAGTTCTAGCGTAATTTTTGTAATTGTTCAGGGGAACGTTTTTAAGTTAGCCCTTACGTATCACTCACGTATGAATTAGAACCTTTTCATTTTCTGTATCTCATTGAATAATCAACGGATCGAACAATTTCAGTATTGAAGTATACCTATAACAAAACATATTAAATAATAATATACAAACAAAATATTTTTCATAAAAATTGATTTAGAACCTTTTCATTCTGAGACGATGAAAAATAATAATATTAACGTTTTAATTTTTTCTGTTTTTTCAACATTTTCAAGCTCCCCCTGAAATCTTGTCACTCCTCCCTAGGCAGTTGCGCAAACAGGTAAAGGTTGAGAACCCTTGATTTATTCAATTTGCTATTTACACTATATTATAATAAAATACCTATAATATGTCAAGCTCCACCCCATCCATATAATAGCCTTGTAATATTATGTTTGTTACATGGATAGAATATATTAGCAGCGGTGACGACTATATATCACACATTTTCAGATCATTATGATGGTGATGAATACTTGCCAATTAGTAATATTTTATGAATATATACTACTAATATTATACACACAGTGGATAGTGTGTAAGATAAATGAACAAATTCTTGAAATAAGGTCGTGCTTAACTACATTCAGAGATATGTATTTGGAAGTTGTAGAATGCTTAAACGATGTCAATAAATCAATATATGGTTTGCCGGCTATAGTTGCTTTTATTGCAGCAAATGTCGGCAACATAATTATTATCATATTTGGTCGTATATTATTCCCTAGAGACTATGACCATCATGACCGGATTCGTAAAATTTCTGTCTTAGGATTATTACTGAGTACAACTAATGTTCTAACATTATACATGATTGGTCACGCCACGGAAAAGGAGGTATTTATATATTATATATTTTTCGAATCTATTGTAAAGTTAAATAGATTTTGGATTCTGAGCAGAGCTGATTTTTTTATTTTTTTTTATTCTGTCATTGTATTGTCATGTAACAATAGCAGTTGATAAAAATTAATAATACAAAGGAACAATTTTTTTCAAAGTTCGATGTTAACCACATTTATGAAACTTTTTTTTTTTTTTTTATTGAACAAAAAAATGTTATTTACAATCTATAATTACATGTATTACAATAAGTAAATGGGATGGGGATGATTAGCGGGAGGGGGAAGTCACCCAGTGGCGGCACCCCGTATATTTTTTATGAAACTTAAAATCTAAAAATGACTTTGGAGTTAAACATTTATAAATTGTTCAATTTTTATACTTAAGAGGACGCTGCCCATACATTTGTTGTCTCCGCCTTACACAAGCACGACTTAGCAAATTGTCGTTCACTAGTTTCAATAGTATGCAGTTACTTTTGATACTAGAGTGAATTGACCTATTATAACATCATATTTAGATAATAACATTATCTGTGCTTAAGCGTTGGCTTTTATTCGATATTTTAATTTTCAAGCGAGATATGAGCATTTAAAATTTTTGATATTGCGCTTACACATATCTTACTTGAAAATGAAAATATTTAAAAATCGCCAACGCTTAAGCACAGATAATATTCTTACCTAATAGTATGATAATAGGTAAATTCACTCTAATATTAAAACTCACAAAACACTATTTAAACTAGCGAATGGAAATTTGGTATGTCGTGCGTGTGTAAGACGGAGACAACAAATACATGGGTAGCATCCTCTTTATTAGGATTAAAAATTTAGAACAAGGTTCCACGTATGTAGGTTATTCTGTAACCAAAAAGTCTCTAAAATATACTCAAATTTTTGTATAGTAATTCTATGTTCAAATTTTTACGAAATTACGTATTAAATAACCAAGAATAATGATTTATGTTATTTTGGTTTAATTGTATCATATTAATTCAACTTACCGGCTACCATATTAATAATAATTTATAACAATATAATTATAATATAAAATATCTACACTGACAAACGGTTACCACTCAGAATCGTTTTTCGTATACAATGATATGATATCATTGAATTCAAATTTAATACAATCCGTTTATAACCTACTGTACAGCAGAGCGACATCCTCTTACCCTTTTTTTAAAATTAATTATTGTCTATCTATTCTCAATACTTCGTAACTTCAGTGAATAAAAACAAATAAATATTTAATTACTACATAGATAAAATGAGTTAAACTTTCTTAAAAACAATGACTCTAAAATATAAAGTACATCTTATTTTATTTTAATCAGTAAATATTAAGTGTTTATTTATTAGTAGGAATTTAAATAGTCAACATTGTGTTTATTTAGTAGGTATTCAAATTCTTTATAACTTAATTTCTGTTATTTCAGATAAATCGGATGAGTATAGTCTTACATCAACGATCCGTAATCGAAAGAAATCCTAGGATTAAACGTCAGGTATAAATATATAACTATATTACTACATTTGATTCATTTAAAATTGAAATTATTATTATTTTTATTTAGATCAAGTTTTTTGTACTACGGAGATTGCACGAACACTTCCATTTTAAGTTGTATGGATTGTTTCATATCAATCTAAGACAACTACTTATCCTTTCAAACGGTGCTATTGGTTATCTAGTAACTCAAATTTTGTTCAATTTAAATAAGTAATAAACAGAGAAAATTAATCGAAATCCCGTGATATTTGTTTAATTTATGATACTCCAACTAAAGATCCTACTTAAACTATTGCTTTTTCCATAACAAAATGTATCATTGTTTTAAAACAATTGACTAGTTTATTGTTGAATATTATGATCACGCGTAACGTGATTGAGAGTAAGCAACTGCCGCTGCTACTATAGTTCTCGGATGGATGATCAGGGTCCATAGTGGCAAAAATCTTGACACTAGATATAGAAAAAAAAATAATTTTAATTCAGTAATAATCAGCATACTCGTACAACAACCCATTGAACTATATGATAATATATTATATGCAGAACAAAATAGTAGAACAAAATCGCTTTATTATTTCCAAAGACATCTCAAAAAGAACTATTTCCTGCCCATTAAGGTGAATGTACGGGCCGGGTACGACCAAATAATATGCCGTTTGCCGAGTCACCAAAATACTTCGTGTGGTATTACACTACTACTCGCCGACCTACATTACTGCTGTAGTAACCCGTCGCTCTCACTTGATTGGTTATTGCACACTTCTTTAACGACGAATGCACGTACACGTCGTCGCAATGAATCGGAGGATGGTGGTTGAAGTGAAGGTAGAGTAAGAATAGTTTAACACAAAATGTAGTTAATTATAGATATAATGTTTATTAACACGAAACTAATAATATAGTTAATTTTAGTAATTTAAAATTTGTCGACAGAATAATAATTCTACCGGAGAATAGTTGTAATTGAAATTATACTTGATGTGGACGGCAATGCGGCTGTTTCTAGTCCGCGACCCACACAAGTATTGTAAAGCACTGGTAATTACTTCTATGTCTGAAAAGTCTGTGAAACAGGGCCCCTATTTATATGAGACATGCCCGGGATTTAGGAAAGGATGATTGACGTCATAGGAATGGCGTGATGTGTAGTTGATCAGTATTAACCAATGAGGCGGCAGCCTCAGTGGCCTATTTTGGTGGCGTGATGTTGTTCAGGCCACCTAACCTTTGGAACGCCGTTTTTGTGTAAAAACGTCGGTTTACTACACTGCCTTGTGTGTATGTGTGTTTTTAGCACTCAACAAGAATTGCCCAGGATCGCCGAGCAAAACCTATGAGTGCTAGAGTGGAGGTGGTGTGTAGATGTGTATATATGTTATGTGTACTTAAAATAATCACAAAGGGTAACTCTAATTAATAAATCAATAGAATTTGGAATTCGGTACTATATGTGTTCATAATTTTAATAATTTTAATAATACACAATATAATATAATAATGACACAGCAGTACAAAGTATAAATTGTGATAATGAGCGGCACCAAAGCAATAATACAAAAATATATTAATAATATTAATAATATATATAAAAAAAACTCACAGATAAGACGGTGTTCGGCTGGCCAGCTGCTACCTGCGTCTAAATAATAATATTCAATAATGTGATTTTCACACACGCACACACAAAAATACTAAAAGGTTTACAATAATAATAAAACGTCAATTCTTGCCTGCGAAATATGTAATAATTAATAAATACAATAGTAATAAAAACGGCAATTCGTTCCTGCGAAATATAAAATAAATATAATTTTATACGGTGATTAGTGCACATAACAATAATACTTTCGACGATTTGCGCCTTACAATAATTCTATACAAGACTGGCGATTCGCGACTTACATATAATAAAATAAGCATTCAGCAATTCGTGCTTTCGATATAACAAACAAGACTTCCGGCAAATCGCGCACGTAATAATGATACACATTCTGTTTAGGCACTACAGAATGGACTGGTTTGGTCGTGGTAAAATTATACGTTTACCGACTCGTCGGCGACCGATCACGCGTAATCTACATATTATTATATAACTTAAATTAGGTACGAAAATACAATATAAAAATGAACACATAATGTGAGTGTGAGTGTGAGTGTGTGTGTGTGTGTGTGTGTGTGTATCGGTCGGGCGGCGATAGTCATATCATAATTTTCTATCCGGCGGCAACATCCTCCCCCCTTTGAAAATTATGATTTTCAAAATTTGGATCTTTCTCCTCTACTGGTAAACGTCATAATTTGACAACTGGTCTTTTCAGCTCATTGCCATTTGATGTCTTCAATGTAACTACTCGTATAATTCCATCACTTCCCGGATGAGTTTTCAGTATTTTTCCTATTTTCCATTTTCTTGGTCATGCATATTCTTCTTTGATGATAACAATATCTCCAATCTTCATTTGTTCAGTTTGAGCTAACCAACGGCCTCGAACTTGAAGTTGTAATAAATATTCCCTTGACCAGCGTTCCCAAAACGTCTGCATCAAGGCCTGTACATATCTCAATTTCCGTAACGTGCTGATATTTTCATTTGACAAGTCAGCTTCTGGGACTAGGAGCAATGGTCCACCAATTAAAAAATTAGCTGGTGTTATGGGCTCTAGGTGTAGTGGATGGGAACTTAACGGTGTCAATGGACGAGAGTTCAAACATTCTTCAATTTGCCAGAGTAAAGTCCCTAACTCTTCTAACGTGAGCCTAGCATCCTTAATTACTCTAGTCAGATGGTGCTTCGCGCTTTTCACGGCACTTTCCCAAATTCCACCTTAATGTGGTGCTGCTGGAGGGTTAAAGTGCCAATTTATTCCTTCCATGGCAACACCCACAAAATTTAATTCATTGTCACTATATATTTTTGAACATTTACCTCTTCGTGCCATAAACCGTGGCAGTGGGGCAAAAAAGGCATTGCTCGTAAGACCAACCACTGGCTTCAAATGTATTGCTCTAGTTGCCAGACACACAAAGACTGCAATCCATGTTTTTATGCTTGTGACACCGTGTATTCCACTTCGAACCTCTAAAGGTCACGCAAAATCAACTCCTGTTGTCGAAAATGGTCTGGCAGGCCGTACTCTGGTACTTGGCAAGGTAGCCCATGATCGGGTTTTCAAATTTAGGCTTGGCTCGAACACACGTCACACAACGTGATGTCGTGGAACGAGCTATTATTCTACCCTTCAGAGGCCAAAATCGAAGGCTTACTTCTGCTAACAATAACTGGGGCCCTCCATGTAACAGTATTTCATGATAGTATATAAAAATTAGCTGCGTGACCTTATGACCAAACGGTAAAATTATAGGATGTTTTTGTTCATTCGAAAGTGTTGAATGATGTAGTCTTCCTCCGACCACAATTAGGTTGTCTGTGCTGATAAATGGGGATAGACCTCGTATCTTACTGTTGTTTGGCAGTTCCTCACTCATAGTTAGCGCTTTAAATTCCAATACAAATTCATCCTTTTGAGCACATCTTACCAACCATTGTTCTGCTTTTCTGAGATCTGATGCTGTTAGAAACCTTGTCTAACATTTTTTAAATTTTAAAAACTCAATAAATTTCAAAATCCAAGCTGTTGCTCGAATTAGCTTCTTCCATTCTGAATGAGCATCTAGCAGTACATTTCTACGCTGTACCACAGCCAGACTCAATAGCATAGTTCTAAGCTCTGGTAGTTCTTTTTCTGGTATCTGTTCAAACTCTGCTTCCTTAATCCAGGCGTTTGTATCGTTTGATAACCAATGTGGACCAAATCACCAACCATTTGCCTCTTGCAACACTTAAGCTGTTGCTTCTCTGGAAAGGACGTCGGCTGGATTTTCATTTGTTGGTACATGATTCCATTGTTTGGCTAAGAAGTTTGAATAAGTGGCCCTCGTGCCATAACTTATCAAATGCTTTTTCAATATCAAGACTAGTTACTGCAGTTTTTAACCTTCAGTTCATATTATCTGTTATGTTGTTTATGAAGTTGACTAGTTGAATTCCATTGCTGTGCTGGGGACGAAAGCCAAATTGTTGTTCAAGTCTCATTTGAGGCAAGATGTGATTTTTTGGTCTGGAGAGTAAAAGGTTTTCCTATAGATTCAGGATTCAGGAGAGATATATATCCGTGGTTGGTTGGGATTTTTGGGTCTTTTTTTGGCTTAAGATATATAGGCTTAATTATATCAGAAATTTTCCACTGATTATTAAAATATTGAAGTTGAGTGCCCTCCCCCCCCCACGTTTGAGAGCACAATTAGAAATAAGGTCAGGCCCAGAGGTGTTTTTGTTATGGAGTTTAAGTGTGTTCCAGATTTCTCCTGAAGAGAAGAAGATGGTTTTGTCATAAATTGAGTTTGAGTGCTGTTCAAGGGTATCTTGTACTACTTCTTCTACCCAAGAACTACTGGAAAGAAGAGAAAATTGTTTTTCCATACTTGAAACAAAGATGTTCTCTTTGTCTAGTGAGTCATAGTGGAGGAAGCCATGATCGTCCTTGAGTGGAAGGGAAGGTGGAGATTTCGTGAGAAGACTTCTATTGAGTTTTTAAAGCCGGGACTACGCTTGGGGACCGACATCAATTGAAGATAGGAAATTGGACCACTTTTCTTCGCAATTTGATTGGAGGAGTTTGCTGACTAGACGATTTTGTCGGTGAAGTAGCGTTTTTATATCCGAGTTCCTGGACCTCTGCCAGATGGATCTTAGCCTGTGTTTTTTGGTTATTTGGAATTGGATCGATACCGGAAGATCAGTTTTTCTGTCTGATGGGCTGTGAATAGCGGAATTGATTTTTACATTGTCGGAGATGAAATTGGAGAGATGAAGTTCCTCTGTGAGAATTTCAGGGAGGAAAAATGGCTTGGAGAGCATATCAAGTTCGTATTTAATCCAGTCGGTGATGTAGCGTGGTTTGGGTTTAGTTATTTGAGCAGAACGATGATGGATGGCTAGCAGAACAGGAGAACGGTCAGAGGTTCATAGGGGAAGTTCATAGGGGGATAAGGAGGTTAGAGTAGAGATGAGAACGTCTCTGATGTTGGCGGTGCCGGCTGTGGGCTCTGAGAGCAGATTGGTGAGCATTTGGATGGCGTCTGGATTGACAGACTGGCTTAGTAACTTTGAAGGCATAGGGCCGACGACAGTTGCATATGACTGAGGGCAGATTTGAGCATCTTCATTAGATGGTGGAGTGATTGTTACTGGAGGTTGACGGAGAGTTGTTTGAACGCGTTGTTGAGTGAATGTGGGTAGAGATGCTTGTTTTTCGGCTTTTGTCTTTAAAAATTCTGGACATTGTTTGTAGTTAGCTGTGTGAGGGCCTTCACAATTAATGCATTTGAGAGTCTGTTCAAGAGTCTTGGAGCAGTCTTTAGCCATGTGGGATCCAGCACATTTCATGCATCTTGGTTTGATATTTTGTTCAACGGGTGGAAGGTCTTGAGTGGGAGTAGGCGAGGAGTGACTGAAGTTTGATTTTTCCGGAGAGGAAGTACAGATGGTAGTTGGCAGTGTAGGTTTAAGAACGGAGTGTGAAGGTGAGTATAAATTAGGTTGACTTGGTTATTGGTCTGTTAGGATTGCTTCTGAAATGGACGATATTGATTCGGATTCTGATGAAGAAAGAGTTTCATTATCTTGTTGTTTTTGTTTTTTGGTTGACGTTTGAAGTGAAAAAGCCGATGAAGTTGGTCTTTTGATTCTAACCTTTTGATAATTAAGAAGATTCCTACCGGAACCGCGGTGTGGAATGTTTTTCTTTACTCTTGTCATTATTACTAGCGGTGGAAGGATCGTGCACGATGCACAGACTTGACACGGTGGTGTGAACCCTCGGGTTCACTTTCCTCGTAGTCGTGGGTTGGGGGGAGTAGTAAATGTGGTACTTACGAATAAAATATGATGTCTGAACGTGTGCTCATTCAAGTCTTAGCGAGTACCTTGTTCAACGCTGAACGTCACTTTGAGCTGGTGAAAGTAGAACGTCGACTGGATTGACTCGTGGGTCTTGTCGCTTACTGGACTGGGCTAGACTTGTAATAATGATCTTTGCTTTGCTTATATGACCGACCTGATTGGTCGTTTCCTATCCAGGCCGTAGCCTATCCTAGTGGTGGAGATGTAAAGTATTAGATGTTGGTTGATTCCGTGGCCCACACGAGGGGGCTAGTTTTTGGTGGTGGTCTTAGGTGAGGGTGGATAACGGGGGCTAGTTGTCCTATTTCTCTGATGAGGTGGTATCTTGAAAATGCACTTGTATATTATATTGGTAAAACAAGCTAACGATACGCGCTCTGGTGGCATAATCCTCAACTCGCATATTCAGAATGCATAGATATAATTTTATATTGGTTATTTTACTTTTTATAATAAATGAATTCTGCTATCGAAACTTTATACGCTTTTATACCTAACTGTGTACGATGGTAAGTACAATTTCTACTAATATTATCAAATACATTTAAATACACTTCACTAAAATCAAAATGTATGCAAAATGTCGGGAAAATAAATACAATCTCCGACATCGATCTACAGTCGGCAGGTATCCATGATGTCATTTTCACTCGGTAATATTGAGTAAAATACTCGTGCACAATATGATTGTTTATGTAAGTTGTGTGCAAGCCATTGAGTGGTCTTTGCTTGCCATACGAGTAATATTTGTTGGCCGCGAGAACGGCCTTTTTAAGTGTTGTGTGTTTCGTACCGTATCAACCAAATATAATCGAAAATCAGTACTATAGAATACAAATTAAATTGAATAATAATATATTAATTGATTATAAAGCATATATTTTACTGAATTATATTTGTTTTCAACTTCAACCATTTTTCGTAGTAATCATTTTCAATTCATTGTACACAAATGTGAATGCATTAGTGATTACATTAAAACAACCACTATAATTCAGTTAACATCAGTCAAGGCACACTCCATAAATCCTAAGAAACTAACTAAATTACCGTTTTTCTTTTTTTTTTTACTAAATTTGTTAATAAATATAATTATGAGTGTAAGATCAGTATTAAATAAATTTAACAATGTTTTTTTAATTTGTGGTATCGGTAGTATAAAATTCAACCAGGGAAATTTTATGACTTCAGTGTTGTTTTATGTTTGGCGATGTATATTAATTTATGCTGGTTTATATAACTTATACAAGGCCAACCTATGGGTAGGTAATAATTTTTTTAGAATTTCTTTTTTGATAGTTTCATTTGATACAACATAAAAATTATAAATTGAAAATTCATGACGTGGATGCGATCACTTTAATGTCATGATCATATTATTAATAGTGTTTGAAGTATGAAATATTGAAATTTTTTTTAACACAAATAAAAACACTATTTATTTATTTTTTTAACACAATGTTCAGTGTTCTAAATTCTAATATCAGAATTCAGTAGGTATACAATATACATGTATAATATTGTATACCTACTTGTATCATTTAAAAATTAAAATATTTAAAAATTTTGAATACCATTTTAAATGTATAATACCAAAGGTTAGATATTACAGTATTTACAGGTACCATACAGTTATGAAGGTAATTTATGACAATTATATGTAAACATAAAACTTATTTAAAAATAAAACAAAATTTATTAAAATACTGAAATACATTTCACGAAATATTTCATTTTTTTAAATTTCATGAAATTTTCAAACACTTTATTAATATATATTATTTTTCGAGAACACTTTATAAATTCTTAAACTATGTAAACTAATTTTTACGAACGAAATATTAAGTGACCCATCGACCCACTTTCTTTCTTGAAGAACACATACAAATAATAATAAAATAATAATTATATATTATGTATATTATAATACGATAAAATAACTGTAAATTGTACATAATATGACATTTTATTTTATAGGCCATGAAAACTAATCCAGAAATGTCTGAACTAACGTCTATAATAATGATCTGTTGTTTTGAATTAATTTTCACTGGAAAATTTGTACCTTATATCTGGCGTATATTTTTTGATAATCAACTATCAATTGTATTGACAAAACTTGAAACAATTCACGAAAACTTGATACGCCTGAATGTGATTGGACCGATAAGAATAAAATTAATAAATTGGATTACCGTTATTGGAATTATTGTAAATGTCATGGGAGTTATAGTTCAAATCGTATGGATATATAATCTTTCAAAATATATTCCATTAGAAACACTGGTAACATTAACATCTATAGATATTTTATTAGTTTATAACTAATATTTTTTTTTTAAATGTTATATTTATTTAAAGTGAATGGATAATTTAACCAATTATGTTACTTTCTGGGTTTTCAAGTTTATTCCTTTATATTAATTAAACTATTCTTTTTAAGAACCTTAAGAAAAAGATTTTTTTATTAAGTGTTTACTTTAAAATTTATAAAAAATATGCACTGAACATTCTGTAACCTAATTCACTACCGCCTATCCTTTAAGAGAAAACCTACCCGCTTCTGTTCTTACCATGTTAAACGTGTACAACCAGAGATGTAAAGCTGAAAAATTTTATAAGTTTTTAACTGAAACTTTTTAAAAAATTTGAACGTTTTCAAAGGTTATTGAAACTTTTGATAACCTGTTATAGATTGATGGATACTATTATTTTTAGATTCTGAGTGGAACGATTAATGTATTTTACAATTATGTGTGTTTTATTTTTAATTTTTTAATTTTTGTGTTGAAAAACAAAAGAAAAATTAAGAAAAAACGGGAATTTTTACGCAAAATCGATTTTTCACAAAATTGAATTTGATTTTTGGTGTAACTTTAAAACAAATGACCGTAGATACATGAAATTTCCACTGGTTGTTTATATTTGCATTTTCTATACACGATAACATTTTCAAAATATTTTGATTTATTTTGAACGGTTTAGGGACATTTTCAGTTTCCATTTTTTTTAGTTTTTTTTTTTATAAATATCGATAAAATTTTATTTGTTTTTTAAAAAAGTTTCAAAATTTAATAGATAGCTCATAGTATATTGTTTCAAAGGCAGATGAAAAGTATTAAAAATCCTTAGGTACATTTCTTTTTATAAGTATTTAAAGTTCGAAAATTGACAAAATATGGAAAAATCACGAAAATTATCAAATCATTTTGAGTTAAGAATTCGTAAACATTTTTCTTTTTAAATCTAAGATTTTAAAATATAATACAAGATTCCTTATAAGATTATCTACCTTTATCAAAATAAAAATATCTATAAGAAAGTCAAATTAAATTTTTATGATCGATTGAAATTCAAATTTTTACAATATTGGATATTCACTCGATTTCTCTTGTAGCGATTTCCTTATTTTATTGTAGTTCAAAAACGAATAACTGTAGATATTTATTTTTATAGTCATTTTAAGTTTAAATTTGAACGAAATTACATAATAAAAAATCAGAATCACCATTTTAGTTATTTTGTTGTGTTTGTATAATATTATTCGTGGGTACTTGAAACTTCTAAAGTACACTATTATATATCTATGATAGCATCAGGGTTTGTTGATGATGTATAACGCGTTATTAGTATCTAATGGATATTGCGATATGATTAATTTGTAATTTATTATAGGTACCTATTATTGGTCAATTTTTTGTTTAATACCATAGATTTTATATAATATGTCTTATACCTAGACTGACATACCGTCTCCGCTCAGAATCGTTTTTCTTATACAATGATATTATATCATTGAATTCAAATTTAATACCATCCATTATACAGTGACCTACTTGTAACCTACTGTACAGCAGAGCACCTTTTTAAGTATTAATTTTATTTTAATGAATAAATAAAAAACAGCAGTCTAATAAACAATTTCAACTGTGGAGTAGGTAAGCAAATCAAATAAAAGGTCTAAAAGAACAAAAATAGAAGTTTAAATTATTTTCTGAAAAGGTTCATTATCATATCTCTGTGTAAAAAAGAACCTGATCAATTTTATGTTGCCATGCCTATTAAAAAAATTTACCGAATTTTCAAACTTAAAGTTAAATATATTATCAGTAGAGGACTAACAGTGTATTTTAATTTGTGATTCAGTTATGAGTATCTTCAAATTAAAATACTTAATAGCTCACCTAAAAACGGAACATCGTTATAAATATTTTTAAAACATAGATAATATTATTCTTTGATATTTTATGAATTAATTCCTTAAATTAACCTTATATTAATAACTTTGTAATATGTTTACAACATGGATACAATATAGACAGCTGTGATGCCTAAATATAAGTATATACTATATAATATATATGTTACGGTCAATGACGAAAATGATGATATTTACGTTAAAGCCCGGCCAATGACGAAAATGATCTTGTACAATACAAATTTACGTAAGTGACCGGTCATTTACGTAAATGGCGACACATAATGGTTAATGTTGTAAACACGGGTATTATTTTATTATTCACGTCAATTCCCAACTCCTGCTGGACGTTGTTGTAAATTATACATTTAAACATTTATAACATCCAGGTCACTGTCAGTTATCTATCCAGACACGTTTCTACGTTAGTATGTAATGTTATATAACATATTGGTTATCGTTATCTAACAAATTATCAAAGGTAGGTAATTTATTTTATTGGATTTTTTCCCCATAACGTATATTTTAACTATTTCAGTATCGTTTCAGACATCGCATTCGTTTGACATCGCTTGATTCGCAGTTCACCAGTTCGACATTTCGCTGTTCGCCAGTTCATTGTCTACCAAATGATGAAATAAATTCATTAAGAACAGAAGAAGATGTAGAAGAATTATTAAAGCAAATGCAAGAAACTGGATTACACGATTCAAAACAAAATATTGAAGAAGTTATTTCACCGATTTCAGAACAGCAAGAAAATATGATGGATACAGGTTAATTAATATAATATTTAAAATTTAAAATTTTATTAAAATAACATACCTCTACCTAATTTAAACATATTAGATACAAACCTAAGAAAATGTGAAAGATGTTTTATTTTCCTGGAAGCAGACAATGAAAGTACAAATTGCATGAATTGCCAACGTCATGAGCAAATACAGAATGAACGACATAAATCAAGTGAATGCTTAAAGAAACAAGCCAAAAAAATGATGACTATTTCAAATAAGAAATTTACTCCGCTAGAAGTTGGTACCACAGTTAAAGTTTCAATACCCGATGTTGATCGAGCACGTGGATCGCCACGAAACCTATTAGCAGTTATTACCCAGGTTGAAGATGATTTATATAAATTAGGTACTTATAAAATTATAATTAAATTATTTAGATATATTCATTTGAATTTATAAATGCTTATATTTAATTAGGTACAGAGAACGGCATTATTAAACATTTGTATACTCGATCGCAGATCGATCCCTGCAAAGAATGTTTCGTTGATTTGGTATCTGTAAATACCGAAAAAGAAATTACATTGAGAGAAGCTGCAGGATTTAGTAGTGTCACTGGATCGCAAGGTTAGAAAAGGTGTAATTGCAAACTAAAGTGCAGAACAAACAAATGCATTTGTCAATTAGCGGGAATATTATGTAATTCAAAATGTCACAACAGCATGCCTTGTGAAAATAAATAATTCATAATAAATATAATGTATAATTAATAATAAAAAAAAAATTATAATATAAATATTAATAACTGTAGTATTTTTAGTCATTTACGTAATTGACTAACAGTCAATGGTTAATAATGTTAATATTCGGTCATTGAGGTAAATATGATTTATTTTGTTTTGTAATTTACAACAATAATCTATTATCTTGGAAACTGACGTTATTGCCCGGTAGTTTACGAAAATAACCTAGCAACTTGGCTTCTAACGTTAATGACCGGTTAATAACGTAAATGTTCAGTTTTCGTCATTGACCGTAACATATATATCATATATTTTCAGATCAAAATAGCGGTTTCAAATACTTGCCAATTCGTAGTACTTTATGAATATGTACTACTTATATTATATACACAGTGGATAGTATATACGATAAATGAAAAAATTCCGGAAAGAACAACATACTTAAGTACATACAGAGATATGTATTTGGAAGTCGTAGAATGCTTGAACGATGTCAATAAATCAATATATGGTGTACCAGCCATAATTAGTTTTATTGCAGCAAATGTTGCCGATATAATTTATATCATATACAGTTTTGTATTATTTCCTAGGTACCATCAGAAACTTTTTGTATTACCTATCATAATATTATTAGTGAGAGTATATAATGTTCTAACATTATACATGATTGGTCACACCACTGAAAAAGAGGTTTTTATATAATTATTATACATTATTCGAATCTATTGTAAAGTTTAATAGCTTTTTTTTAATTAATCATTTTCTATCTATAACCAATACATAGTAACTTCAGAGAATGATAAAAAATTAGTATTTATTAATTTTTCCATAGACACCAAAATTTAAATTTTCTTAAAACATAATATCTATATAATGTACATCTTGTATTAAAATAACTAGAAAAATTAAGTGGTTATATATTTGTAGTAATTTAATTAGTCAACATTGTGTTTATTTAACATAGTCAAATTATTTAAAACTAATTTTTTGTGTTTTCAGATAAACCGGATGAGTCTTGTGTTACATCAACGATCTGTAATCGAAAGAAACCCTAGAATTAAACGTCAGGTATAAATATATTACAATATATTAGGTAACTATATTTGATTCACCTAAAATTTCAATTATCATTATTTTTATTTAGATCAAGTTTTTTTTACTACGGAGATTGCACGAACACTTCCATTTTCAGTTGTATGGAATGTGTCCTATCAATGTAAGACAACTACTTATTCTAACAAACAGTGCAATTGGTTATTTAGTAGTTCAAATTCTGTTCAAATTGAATAAATAATAAACAGAGAAAATTAATTTGCACCCCGGGTTATTTATTTAACATAGAATAATCAAACTAATGGTTCTAGTTCAATTATTGTTTTTTATATCAAAATGTATCATTGTTTTAATCTTATTGACTAACTATTGAATACTATGATTTAATACTATGATTTAACTATTAATAAACTAGTTTAAATATTTTGGGAGTTTCTTGACTTACACTATGAACTTTTATAATTTTTTAAGTAAATTATGAAGAACTGAAATATTTCAAGACGTGGCAGTAAATAATTTATATTGATAAATAGAAGACAGTTGTATTTCGTATTGTAGCTACAGATCTGAAATATATTCAATCATAACCAATAGCAACCTTACTACCTATAAACAAAAATATGTTCCTATTTAGATTATTTTTTTCTGGACAGGTGTTTGCGCCACTGCTATATTTTTCCATCCAGTTTCTTACCTTTTATTTGATTTGCTTACCTACTCCACAATTGAAATTGTTTATTAGACTGCTGTTTTTGATTTATTCATTAGAATCAAAAAAAAAAATTGACCTATAATAGGTACCTATAATAAATTCCAAATTAATCAAAGTAATTTGCTAATTTTCGTGATTTTTGTGATTTTCCATATTTTGTCAATTTTTGAACTTTAAACTATTACAAAAAAACTGTGAATAAGGATTTTTAAGGTTTTTAAAATGTAATTGTAACAATATATTAGGAGCCTTGTATTACATTTTGAAGTATTTTTACTCAACAAATAAAGTTTTATTGACATTCATAGAAAAAAAACTAATAAAATTGGAAACTGAAAATGTCCCTAAACAGTTCAAAATAAATCAAAATATTTTGAAAATGTTATAGTGTATAGAAAATTCAAATATAAACAACCAGTGAAAATGTCATGTATCTACGATCAGTTGTTTTAAAGTTAGGTACACCAAAAACCAAATTCAATTTTGTGAAAAATTCCCGTTTTTCCTTAATTTTTCTTTTGTTGTTCTTGCCGCTTTTGAAAATTACTGGGAATTTTAAATTTGTACCTCCCCAATGCACCAACAATATTCCCTTTCCAATCGAACAAGATACTGAATTTGAAAATCGAAGCATTATTACGACTACTTATCGTGTACAGAAAACAAAAAAAATTTTAATAAAAATGTGGGCAAGTGGGTGTCGCTCTGCTGTTCAGTAGGTTACAAGTGGGTCACTGTATAATGGATGATATTAAATTTGAATTCAACGATATATTATCATTGTATAAGAAAAACGATTCTGAGCAGAGACGATATGTCAGTCTAGGTATAAGACATATTATATAAAATCTATGGTATTAAACAAAAAATTGACCAATAATAGGTACCTATAATAAATTCCAAATTAATCATATCACAATATCCATTAGTTACTTATAACACGTTATACATCAACGACAAACCCTGATACTATCATAGATATATAAGAAGTTTCAAGTACCCACGAATAATATTATACAATCACAACAAAATAATTAAAATAGTGATTCTTGGTTTTTTATTATGTAATTTCGTCCAAATTTGAACGTATATTATTATTCATATTGTGCGGCACGGCGGCCCGCGGGTTTCCAGCTACCTATAACCTGACCTTTTTTCTTTTGTGTATATTTTATTGGCGAGTAGATATGAGAAGTAAAATTCAACGATCCATCTATATTATACTATATGTATCTATACATAAATTAAATATATTTTATTTTGGACGCGGCATCACGCGTAAACGGCTGGACCGATTTCCCCAATTCTTTTAGATTCTGAGTGGAACGATGAATGTATTGATTTTACACCGATATGTGTTTTTTTTAAATTTTTTTTTGTGTCCGTCATCACGTTTTAGGACAGTAAAAGTCGTATTGCGCATGCGGCATGCACGTACCGAGTGAGCTAAACATTTGAAACTGGTCTGTAAATATGAATTTAAGTCCTATCACCTCCCGAAAACCTCATTTCAATACAAAGTCATTCATCTGAGATATTCAGTGGTACCTAAAATCGTGATCATACTGTATATTATAATATTGATGGATGATTATATATTTGTATAATATTATGGAGATTCGGGTGATTTTTGTATTTTCTATAAAATATACATTAATAAAATTAGTACATAAATGTGTTTCACGATTAAAAAAAAAAAAAAAGGTCAAGGGGGGAGGATGCGATACCCAAATCCCCCCCCCCCGTAATTACGCCACTGCTGCTAATTCATTACATTTTCAAAAGAACAAATATTAATTTAACATATAAGTAAATAGTTTGATGTATCTTCCAATAAATTATCAATAACACTAAAGTTATCAACATAATATACAACCTAAACCAAATATAATCAATTATAAGTACTATAGAATATAAATTGCATTGAATAATATATAAAGTGGGTATTGTATACTTTAAACTAAATTATTTTTGTTTTTAACTTCAACGTTTATTTGTAATAATCGTTTTTAATTCATTGTACACTGTGTACACATAATATGAAAATGCATTCTCGAATACATTAAAACTATAGTTTTAATTCAGTTAAAACCAGTTGATAATAAAGAAATAAACTAAATAAAACCAAATACACTAAAAACTATATTAAACTTTTTTAGATTATGCGTGGAGAGAGGAAGCTATTGGTTTTACAATGGTGTTTATTTTTTTTTTTATATCCTGTATACAAACTATCTACCAGAAGGAGTGCTTCAATTTCAACATAATATAGTACGTTATCTTTTAGCAAATTGGATCAAGATGGTACTAAAGAAAGGTCATTTTTCGATTTTCTCAATATTTATTTAATTGCACAGGAAAAACCAAATACAAATTACGAAAAACCGCTAAAAATAGGATTTTAATTTCTAACCCTTTGTATATCACCATGGAAACGAATAAAAAATAATAATACTTATTATAACGTAAATTCAACTTACAGGATATAATAAATAATAACAATATCCAGACTGACAAACCGTCTCCTCTCAGAATTTTTCTTATACAATGATATTATATCATTGAATTCAAGTTTAATAATCTCAAAATTCCCGTTATAGCACATCCCGGGGTTGATCCTCTTCCTTTTAAAATTAGCATAGCTTTTAAGTTTGGCCAAATTACACACATTGTAAAAATTTCATTAAGAACCAGTGCAACTTTAAGATGGCTTTCCGATGCCTGATCATTTAATCTAATTTTGATGCTTTGTATAAGATCAATTTATATGTAATAACTATATTTAATTTAAATTTAATCCTTTCGAACGATAAACCATATATGTAAAATTAAAAATTCATATAAAATTTCAAAATTAAGTTCAAATTGAATTTTTAAACAGACGTGAATAACTACTTTCATATATTTAATGGAGCAATGAAGAGACTTCTTAGGAAAATACCATGTCCATAAATATTGCAGATATTTTAAATATCTTTAAGAACAACTTATGAGAACGTAGAAATCGACAATAATTTAAAATTTGTGTCTAGGCGTGGGGTAGTCTTATAAATCAGTCGCTCAACTTGATTGAGAGTAAACAAAGGTCGCTGCCACTAGTTCTCAGATAGATTATCAGGGTCCATATAGTGGCAAAATCCATGCCACACACAAGTGCACAAGTGCAAACCAACCATACCAACAAAATAAATTACAATATTTGTTTAAATAGATTTACAATTTAATTTATATTGAAACTATATTTTGTTAATAAGGTTGTCTTTGTTGTTGAATTCGATAGTTTTTAAAGTATGTTCTTCATTTAGAGCTTCTTTGATGTTGAGTGGGAGGTTGAGAAGAGTGCGGGTTGGTTCGTGTATTGGGCATTCTTCAAAAATGTGTCTTATGGTGATACGGGTTTGGCATGTGTTGCATATGTGTGGCATGTGTTGATCTTTACTGATTAGGAAGGAGTGTGTGAGAAAGCCAGAAAGGTGTGGCCGATTCTAATTTCTAATACGAGTGATGGCAATATTTTGACGTCGGTTGAGGTCCGGAGGTGTAAACCACTGTTTCACAGAACATTTTATGTGTTTAAGTTTGTTGGTAGGCGGAATGGAGTCCCAGTGGTGTTGCCATGACAAAAGGATTTTATTTTTGACGGACGTAAAAATATCATAGGATGATATTTTGTCGATGGTGCTGTTATGTAGAATATTAGAGGCAAGGGAGACTGCTTCATCGGCCATTTTGTTACCTTTTATTCCTACATGGGAGGGTACCCACATAAATTCGAAGGTTTTCTGGGTGTTGATTAGTTCAGATTGGGTAATTTGAGTTATTTCATTTCTAGGCCACGGGTTTTTTAGTGCTGTTAGGACGCTGAGGGAATCGCTGATAATCAAAAAGTTATTTGTTTGAAGCGAATTCGCTAGTTTAATTGCTTCGAGTATTGCGTAGTTTTCGGCGGTGAATATGTTTGTTATTGTGGGAAGCTTGTGTTTAATGGTCGTTTGATTATGAACAACTGCGAAGCCGACACCGTTTTCAGACTTTGAGGCATCCGTGTAGATTAGAGTGTGATTTGGGAAACGAGATTGGATAATTTCGTGAAAATGAGATGTTATAATTTTGTGGCTTATCTCATGTTTGTAGAGTGTGAGTAAGTCTGTTGATAATTTTATGTTCCATAGCCAGGGAGGGTTTTTTTGAAAGATAATTTTTTCTTCGACGGAGGTATGTATATTCATTTTATTGCATAAGTTGGAGTAGATATCTTGTATTGTTGTAAGTTTTTTTTGACATTGTGATTGATGACTGGGTTTTGGTTTTTGAAAAGAGGTATATGGCTTATGTGGTTGGGAGTGGTTTTCCTTTTGATACAGTGTAGAAGAGTGGTTTTGTCTATTATGAGTTGAAGGGGTATTTCTCCTGCGTAACATAATGCACTTTCTGTGGGGCTTGTTCTGAAAGCGCCGATCGAGAGACGAATTCCTTCGTGATGTATAGGGTCTAGTGTTTTGAGATGTCTTGGCTTAGCTGTATTGTAG